AAGTTGTAGAGGTTGCAATCCTGGATGCCATACTTGGCTCGCATGTTGTGTACAAGCTTGAACCACACGCCAATAAGTTCAGGGTCTTCACAGAGAGCTCTTTGGAAGTCGTAGACGCGATTGAAACGCGTCTTGAGCTCTGGTTGTCGATTGACGAAGGTCTGCGCCCAGTTCTTGCCGACAGGTTTCTTGCTGTGTTCCGCAAGGAGCAAATTGGCCATATCTTCAACACCAGCCAAGTGAGGTGCAAATCCTCGTAAATCCAGTTTCAATATATACTAGACAACTGCCTCCTCTTCCAGGACTGTCAATTACTGGGTTGGGCTTCGATAGTCGCGTCGTGAAGTGCGACCGTTTATTCTGGCACGTAGAGTCGTCTTAGGGATATCATAGATTTTTGCAGCTTTGCGATGACTCAATTTGTTGTCGCGGCGCATTGCTTCAATGGCAAGGGAGATTCTGGCTTCGTTGGATGGTGCTGACATTTTTTTGGGTGGTGAAGGAAGGTTGTAGAGTTGAGATGTCGCGTGGTGGTGGAAAAGTGGTCCGCGCGACCGGGTGGTTCGCACCACCGGGAACCACATTACTTAATTCACTAATTCCATTGCGAAGCAAAAGCCATCGGCTCCGAAGACTATATTTTTTATCGAGGCCATGATTGAAAAATTGTTCCAAGACGTTATCTCTTAACATAATGTCAGAAAGAAGGGTCTGGAAAAGAAGAGAATCTTTGAAAGGCACATTCCGCGGGGATCAGAGTGTTTGCATTCAAGTGTACCATGGTCTATTAGCTCTACAAGTTCTATCTTTGCCACCTGCCCTAAGATAAAATCTTACTATGGGATATAGTCTCCGTCCTGATCGCTGAGCTGCTTCTCGACGTCTTCCTCGATTGCCTTGAACTGCTCCTCGTCCGATTCTCCAAGTGACTCTGGTAACGGGCGAACCGTCTTCCGCTTGACCATCTTCTGCCTGTCTCCATCTTCGAGAACCTCATCCGACCCCCGCCTTCGCTTCCGTCTCTGATCGAAAGCCTCGCTTTCCTGTACTAACTTATATAACTGAGCGAAGGAGATGGTAATCCCCCCTGTGATATTATCAATCCCAGGACAATCAAGCCTGTTTCCAAAATCCTTTAACCCGATCTGGAGGATCCGTTCGCCATTAACCAAACTCCCATCTGCAGCCCGAAAGATACCCTCTTCGACCTGAGCCGTTTCGAGTATGATCTCCCCGTCCTCCTTTGTCTTTTTTGGTCGCCACACCATAACGCTTGCTTCTTTTCCCTGGTATTCGAGGTCAATCCCGATAACAACCTGGGTCAACCCATTTGAACCAAGGATGTATTCCTCTGCGAGGGACTCCAAATCTTGGCGTTTTTGTGAGTGTGAGACCTCTAGGATGACACCAAGTTCTGTTGCATCCTTGTGTGCGAACGACCCATCTGGGCAATGGGTACCATTATCATCAGTTTTGGTCTTGGGACTTCCTCTCGCGCGTATACCCTGAGCGAAATCGGCAGCGATTTGGTCGTTACTCTGCTCGATAATATATAACTGTCGTGTAACTAGGGTTTCGAATCCTCCGATCGTGTCTTCGTGAACAGTGCCCGCCATACGTAGGACGAACTTGGTAAGCTGAGGGAAGTAGTCGTACCTAATTTGAGGTTAGCTAATGTAATGCTGGATAAGGGGCAGCTGGACAAAAGGACAGAGGAACAAAGGGACAGAGGGACAGAGGGATAGGCTACCTACTTTGGCCAGCGGTAGTTCCCTTCAGCTTCAAAACGCGCCTCAAAAGCCTTGAACTCGTCACGACTGAGGCTGATGCACCACCACTCCTCTTCGACTTGGACTCGGCCGCAAATGCGATTTCGAATTTCGGCGATAATCTTATCGACGCCTGAGACCGGGAAGCTCGCAGACGGTGTGGGAGAGTTAGGAGATGCTGTCTCTGGAGGCGTTGCCGGGTAGAGAGACAGCCGATTGAGGGGGAGCCGATCGAGCTGGGCGATTGCTTTCTTGTCAGCCATATGGGCGGATGGCTTTGATGAAGATGATAGAATGTACGTGCACCCAGGGCGACTGTAAGGAGTAGGGTTACTCGTTTGCTTGTTGACGACGGAAGGAAGAGGTGTTGAGGCGATTGCGTTGTTGGCGATGGAAGGAACTGGTTGTGGTGGTGGCGTAGAATTGCCCCCACTATAAATGTACCTATCGAGGGTGTTAGGGTGTTTTGGGGTGCTGAGATTGGCGGGTCCAAGCTGCCAAAAACGGCCAGCAACGCAGACACTCCTCCTGGAAATTTGAGGCAACTGTCGGGAATTCACGTGACTTCGCGCCGCGGGGTAATTCTGAGTAGTGCACTCTGTGCTGAAAACTACCTGCTGAAACAAAGGGCGGCACATACAGTGATGGTGCGGAACATGTGTGTTGCCGTTAAGTGTTGGGTGTGTTAGGAGTGTGTGCCCCGAATCAGAGCGTGCGGGTGCGGAAAAGATTCGCGCTAGCACGTGAATTGGCCTAAAATATCCCAAACCAGATGCGCTGTGGGGTCACCGATTCGGGGTCTTACGGGCGTGGCCAAATCCGGGCGGCTGCGGAGGCGGTGTGTATCGGCATTATTTGCGGGTCTTGTTTCGGATACTCCAGTCGAGCCATGTCGGCCGTAATGCGCCCCAAAAACACGTTACAGGGTCTCACGTGATGATGACGATTACGGCAGGCGGAGGAGGGATTGGCTCGAAAATTTGTGGCGACATCACGCGCCCCCACCAATGAGGGTGAGCTGGGTTTGGTCACGCGACCGGGCGTACCCCCGGCTTGCGAACACCGCGAGGCAGCTGTGCAGCGCTGTTGGCGGCCTTGCAGGTTATCACATGGAGGGCGACGTGTCAAATCTGTCCCGCCCCCACTTAAGCCATTACAAGACGTCCACAGCCAGAACATAAATCTCTTTCCCTCTTCAAAAGAATTCTTCGGCCGAATACCTCAGTCGACGACTGGGCAGGCTGGCTTCAAGTTCGGATCTCTTAGCATTCCCCCTAAAATATCCGACAGGGCAACCCACGCATTCGCGTTAAAAAGGGGATGTACCCCCGTCGGTGTATTTACACACGTAAGAGACGAGACGTGGTTACTGGTAGGTAAGATAGTAGATCAAGCCACATAACACGGTAATGGCGTTATTGATGCGCGAATCGGTAACCTGGTAGAAGAAATAGGCCAGATTACGACAGTACCTGTCTGTAACAATGGCCCCTTCCAGCTCGTTAATAATGCCGCAGAGTAACATGGTCTTACCCTTACTAGGATCTCCTTGCAAAGGCATAAAAAAAAGGCTCTCTGGCTTTGCCAGAGAAAAACCAGCAACACAAGAAAATCACACTTGTGCATACAATCCAAAAAGTGCTATTCAGTTTAACACGTAAACCCAGTGATGAAAAGTTTCCTACAGAAAGCCCTAGCACAAATAGGGTAACTAAGACGCTATAGAGGGACAATGAGGAGGTGGTACATGAAAAGGGGAAATAATTCTTGGGAGCGATGCCTGCCCTACAACGATTCGGTTGGTTTTCAGCATGCTGCAAAAATGGCATGAAGCCTAGGCCAAAGGGTCCCGAATTTGGGCTTAGAATATACCAGTACATGCTGTGGAATGGTACACATAATATCCTAGCCCGGATTTGAGATAGTGCATGCAAATAGTTTGTCCTATGTAAAGTTATTATGTAATGGGATGGACAGGTACATCCTGCGCCTGGATATACCGATGCTCTACTTCTATTTACATCTGTGATACTATGGCCAGCTAAGTTGATGATGAATGGCAAGCTTAGCCCGGGAGGCCAGAAACAAGGCCCGAGGGCTGTGCAGCAACCACCCACACCGGGATCACTGCAGCTCAGGACCCATGCACGCCCAAAACTGCTGAGGGCAACATTGACGAGTGACATATGTCTTTAAAAGCTGCGGTCGGGCAGGGCTGTGCTCTGCGACAGATCGAAGCTATCTTGCAACGGCTTATGCAGCGCGGTATTCCACTGGTCCCGCATAAGGAGTCGGCCACCCGGCACCGCCGCCAACCCCTCCTCCGTGATGCCCCAGACGACATGGACAATCTGGATGCCGGCGGCGCGGGCGATGGCCTCCGAGAGGAAGAAGTTTTGCATGTCGATGACGATGGGGGCCGTCTTGGCTGGCGCGATGGTCACGGCCACGTCGGCTGTTGTTGCCAGGCGCAGGCGCGTGGCTACCGGCGGGCTGGAGGGTGTTGCGGGGTGGGTGAGGTCGTAGCCTGTGGTGGGGTTGAAGAGCCAGAAGGTGGTGTCGGCGTTGCCGACGAGATGGGAGGGGGTTGTCATGACGGTGGTTGTTCAGCGTGGGAGCATCTGGGGTTGCTGTTGATTGTGATGGATTGGGAGCCAGTTGAAATGCGGAGTGGGAATTTGGGTGTTACCTTGGAGTATACCTGGGACCTTTATGGGCCGTCAAGGCGTCAAATATACTGGTGAAAATGGAGCAACGTACGCTGAGCTTTCGCCTATTCATCCTCGGCGAAATTGTCAACTCCTGATTGTACTTAGCTGCTAAAGTGCTGCGACTGAAAAAGATTTCCAAAGTTGAACCCTTTAAGGTCTTTTCGAGTCTTCATGCCAAGATAGCCCACAATTTGATTATCTGGAGATCATAATCTGACACCTACTTGAGATCTAGGTGGATCGTCATCCTGAGTAATCTTTCAAGTTTCTGTCATGCGATTTAGACTAGTACTGTATGCTCGTGGCCAAATCACTCAATGTTCGGGGTACGACTTTCAAAGTTTGGACCAATGAGAGAGCAAGAAACCTAAACAAATGCTTTCAGTCTCTAAAGTAAAGCTCCCGCTTTGATCTCTCACGACACCGCAGCACCAGAAAAATAGGAGAAATAACTCGAGCCTGCCTTTGATGGAGATCCAGGGAGCAAAACATAAGAAAGGCTGCAAGACGGTAAAAAGAATGGACACGCGGGGAATTGAACCCCGGACCTTTCACATCATATGTTGTACTGAACATGCGAAGCGAACGTTATACCCCTAAACCACGCGCCCGGTGTATTGGTTGATGAGGGAAGGTGTCAAAATGTGGTCCGTAAAGGGGAATTGCCCGCCCAAGAAGTGGATTATTAGGGGTGGGGGCATTTCGTCAAGCAGTGGCATGGCCATCTAGGGCCTGATAGACCAGTAAGATGCTTAACTTGTAGGTTTAGTCTAGGTCGATAAATTGTTCGCTAGCTTGTCTTGTCTGGTACGTACCTGTGGTAGTTGCCCTCAGGGTAGCCCGTCTCCTCCCGAGACAAACTTCACGCTAACGACCCCGAACAATCAAGGTGGAACTTTGGGCACCAAATCCTCGAGCCTGACTCATGGAGTGGATCTCGGAACCTTTTCAACACCTAACGCTGGTCGCATGGTGTAGTTGGTTATCACGTCAGCTTAACAAATCTGATGATATTCTCAGGTTGATCAGTTTCGCTGAAGGTCCTCAGTTCAATCCTGAGTGCGATCACTTTTTGACCGTGATTAGATAATATTTCTTTTCTTTGGTTCTTTTTGCTGGTTCCCTTCCATCTTTCGGGGGCAAAGGGGGAAGGAGCAGTTTTTGTCACCTGCCCCCAAATGCCCCTCGCCTGCCTCCAGCTGAAGACCCCTGGCACCGACGTTCACAGCGCACTGGGATTCATCATTTTGATTTCAGTCAAATTACTGATTCAATTCATACACGATTCCCAAACAAACACCTTTTCCTTTTCGACCCTAAGCCCTGAACCTCCTCGTGGTCACCGCCCTCGTCCCATTGGCCGCCAGTCTCTTGAAGGTGTCGATGATGCCATCGTACGCAGGGTGTTTGGTGAAGTCCTCAAACCACAAGAGCGCAGAGCCGTTGTCGGGGAAGACGTCCGGGATCCAGCTGAACGGGTCATAAAAGTCCCACAGCGTGATGCCCACACAGGCCTTGACGCGCACGCACGCCTCGGCCACAAACTGGTAGCTCTCCTTCTGCCACGCCAGCTTGGTCTCGTTCTTGGGCGTCACAGGCACCTTGATGCGCACGTCGAGCTCGGTGAAGGCGATCTCCTGGACCCCCAGCGCGGCATACGCCTCCATGGTGTCGACGTGGTCCTGCATGGTCGGGTGGTTGTCGGCGTGCAAATGCGCCTGCATGCCCACGCCGTCAATCCGGATCCCCGCATCCTTGAGCAACTTGACGATCCGCTTCGCGCCCGCGGTCTTGACCGACGCGGGCCTCTCGATGCCATAATCATTGTAGTACAACTTGGCGCCGGGATCCGCCTCGGCGGCCGCCTGGAACGCCAGCTTGATGTACTCGTCGCCGAGCACGTTGTAAAAGACCGATTTGCGGTACGTCCCGTCCTCGTCTAGCGCCTCGTTCACCACGTCCCACGCGTAGCACCGGCCCTTCCAGTGGCCCGCGACGCCCGCCACGTGCCGCTTGATGGCGGCGCGCAGCGCGTCCGGCGTCCACTCAGTCGTCTCGACCCACGGCGCCAGCTGGCTGTGCCAGACGAGCGCATGGCACCGCAGGATCTTGCCCGTCGACGCCGCGAGCCCCGCAACCACCTCGCCCTCGGTGAAGTTGAAGACGCCGGGCTCGGGCTCCGTGAACAGCCACTTCTGGCCGTTGGTTGGTGTGGTCTGCCCGAATTCCTTGGGGTCCGCGAAGATGGCGTCGTATTTGCTGTAGGATTGCGGGAAGGGCGCGCGCTCGCGGAAGCCCGGCGTGTCGGTGGCGGCGCCGAAGTATTTCAGGCCGGCCTTTTTGGCCCAGTAGTCGAGCTGGCACGACGCCAGCGGGAGGAGGGCCAGGAGGGTGCTGGTTGGTAACCGCATAGTGGGTGGTGGAGGGGTTGACGGCGGTGGTTGGAGTGAGGAGGGGGGGTTGTCACGAGGAGGTGAGGGGGGGAGGTCGTTTATACTCAGGGGTTTGCCGCTCTGCGCGCGAGATCCCTCTTACCCGGCTCCATGGGGACGGGAGCAGCTTGCAATCATTCCAGATTAAACCACCAAGCGATGATGGCGGCCCAAGGGGGAGGGAGGTTGTGTCTTTGCTTCCGCGGCCGTAACCCGTTGTGCAAGTGTGTTTCCAGGTCCGCTCTGCCCAAATTTGGGTCTTCCTCTTCAGCCGAACCAGCCCCTAGTATAGGGCCAAGCGCGTGCATTGTATGCCTGCCGGGCTCGCCTGTCCGCTCGACATTGCGGCTCGCATAGGGGAGCTCCGGGTAAAGTCGAGGTGCCCGCGTTGTGTCGCTTTTCGCTCCGGCTATATTCGTGGCAGTTGCGCGTCCATTGACGAATAAACAACTTTGGCGCTTGGGTTCTCGAGTTTTCTTGTGACTATTCCGGGTCCTGAGATGGGTGTCCGTTGGGGATCAGGGGCAGGTGGACACAAAGGCTGAAAGATTCAAAACGCTCCTACCCAACTTCATCTCCACATTACAATGTGCTAGTAGGCCGGACAAAACCAGATACTATCATCCAATATGTACAGGCCCGCTGATGCTGCCAAGAAATTGCACGCCACTGCCCGTGTTGTTGTTCTGAGTGCCCCCAGTGGCATTGAATTGTGATCCTGAACCGAAGTGGTTATAATACGAGGATCCACTCGTTAACAACATTGGTGTTGATGCTGGTCGACTCGCAGCGGCAGAGGCACCTCCAAGCTGCGATTTCCATCTGACTAGCTCGCCGAGCAGCCTTTTGAACCCGTTGTCCTCAACAGAGCGGAACCTAACCATGTCTCCGTGATTGGCGTGGATACTGAAAGCGCTATAGCCCTCGAGGGTGGCTGATTCTTTAGATACAACCGTTCCGATCACGGGCAGAGGCAACTCTTCGAAGAAACACGTAACCTCAAGACGCCTGCCGTCTTCTCGCAGTTCTCGAATCATCGACCAGAACCTAACCTGAATCGACTCAAGCAGCTGGTTGTCGGTCTCCAAAAGCTGCAGCAACGACTTGTTTGTTGACTTGATGAGGCCAAGGGCGGAAGCTGGCATCTTTGCCCAATCGGCCATCCAGGACCCCTTGTGCGGAGTGCCCATGAATATAATGCCCCTGACCGATCCGAAGATGCCGCGAAGATGGCGTTCAGGATTGTTTCGTGACATCAGGATGGCCTCCTTGCATACAAGACCCCCCAGGCTATGGGCAATGAAGATCAAGGGACGATCCGGTGCATTGTCGAGAGCCCGGTCGTTTGTTAAATCAGTCAGGAGGTTTGTGGCGTGGTCAATGAGCCGGTTAGCGGACGCTGTCGAGGTCGCTTTTGCGATGTATGCATCGTAGCCGTAGGAGAGGATGCGCGCCCCAGGAAGTTTGAGCGGGAGGAGTGTCTTGGGCCAGAATTGCCCCTCGGCGGTCCATGTGTTGTCGCGGTCGCCGGTCAACCCATGGACGAAACAGATATCAACAGTGGCGTCAGCGCAGTCGTGCAATACTTTGATTCCGTCTGGAAAGGCAGGTTGGGGGTTCTCATATGACGAGGCAATCTCGTCACTTGTGTCCTGTCGATCGATGTTGCCCGATTGCTTTCTTGACCTGAAAATTCGCGAGAGAAATGGTTGGCGTTGTGTCATTTTTTATGGCGAACCAATCAAAGAATATGCTAATAGTTGCAGCAGGCTGGGAAAACGCCCCCACAGTTTTTCCAGGCAAAGTAGGTAGTAGGAAAGGTAAGGTACCTAAGTGCCCAGGGAGAAGGGGAAAGGCCTTGCAAGGTGTCTCTTTCCAAAATCATGCTCAACTAAACCATTTTCAGCCCAGTTGTCAAATACCTTACTTTGCACAGAGAATGGCCAGGGCGGATGTTGAAAATCTCGTTGGGCGCAAATGCGCGCTTCAAAAACCGAGGCGTAGTAACTCCGCGAATAAGGGGTTTTTCCTGCCTGCAGTTCGACACGTTTGCTGAGACCTGTCATCGATTCGAGCCGCCACTGGACCCCTCACACATTTCATCTTTCCATTGGCGGAAAAGCCACTGAGAGGCATGCCAGCCCAATTCAAGCCCCGTGATGGCGGCGAAGGACCGCATGCACGCTTCCGTCTGCTCTTGCAACTCTCCATCATCGCGCGTCGATCGTCCTGCCACCAGAGCGGAGGAACTTCAACGACCTCAGTCCTTGACGCCTTGTCATTCTCCGTCCCTGAAAATGCCCACACCCTGATACGGCAGAACCGACGGATGAGGATTCCCTGTCTCTGCAGCAAGTCCGCAGTGGGTCGGCGGTGCACCATTCATCTCCTGGCAACTCACGGTCCTATATCCATCACGGCCCCGGGTCCCAATTCGATGTGGGCAACGGCACTTAAATAGTCGGCACGATCTACGGAAACGTACAAATCGGTAAGTCGTCGCATAGTATCTTCATTTCCAGTGGCACGTACTAATTCACCAAAGACAATGGACGGGCCTGAGAGGATAAGATAGGCGAAGTTTTGCTTTACCTCAACGCTTTGCCACACGAAGCTCGGAAAGACCGAAATCCAACTCGGACCCCAAGCACATGCAACTGGCTCGTCTCTCACGATCGCTTCCACGACTGGCAAGAGTGCAAGTCGTCGGCCTTGCTTTGGGTATCTGCCGATCCTGGATGTGGAAAATCGGTCCTGGCGAGGCACCTGGTCGATTCTGTTCTGCCCGCCGAGTCCAGAACATTGTGCTACTTCTTCTTCAAGGGCGACTTTCTAGACCAGAAAGATGCGACTAGCGCTCCCCGCAGCATCTTGCACCAACTTTCCGCTCAGAGGCCCAGTCTGCTTTCCACTCCTGTTCTCATGAGACTCGACGCCGAAAGAAAGAGAAAGACGGCCGTAGACTCATTCGGCGAACTTTGGCGGATTCTCATCGAAGCGGTCAAGGACGGGAATGCGGGCGAGGTTGTCTGCCTGCTCGATGCCGTCGACGAATGTGATGAGGAAAATCCCAGCTCATCAAAGCGCTGTGTGAAGTATACGGCACCGAACGAGCCGAGCTCAGCTTGAAATTTCTCCTCACAAGTCGGCCCATCAGTGGTATCCAACAAGGCCTTAGCCTCTCCGGGTTCCCGCCATGATCCACCTCAGTGGGGAGAGCGAATACGAGGTCGAAAAGATTTCCGAAGAAGTCAACGTTTTGATCAAAGCCAAGGTCGAGGGAATCAGGAATCGCCTGTATCTCAGGCCGGACGAGCGAGATCTGCTGCTTCGGGATCTTATAGGTATCCGGCATAGGACATATCTTTAGGCTTACCTCACCCTCGACCTCATTGGGGGCGATATCGGCATCGACAAAACTAGAATAGAAGAGGCCAATTTTGGAGGCGAGTCGAAATCGGTTCGGAGGATGTCGACCGCCAAACACCGCTAGCACACGCTGTTTGGAGCGGGAATATGGTCACTGTCAAGATGCTCGTCAGGTCTGGCGCTCGGGTCGACTCGACCAACAACATTGGAGGCACGCCGCTATCTTACGCTGTCTGCAGCGGAAATCAAAATTTGGTCAAGCTCATG